ACCGGTTCAGTCCCCACCACAGTCTTGAGGGCGTGAGCACGACCCTTGGACTTGCGCTTCACACTCCCAGTGAATCCGCACACCATTGCTGCAAAATAAACAAGCATAAAATTAGGGATCGAAGGAAAGATGAAATTAAGACCTAGGTCGAGCACGACTTACCGAGTTCAGAGTTTGGCCTTGAAGCTTCGATTGGCCGAACTAGAGGGTTGTAGTCAAGAAGCCCCGACTCCAAGAGAAGCTTGTCGGTGACTAAGGTTCCGATCTTCCTGCCCTTGGGGAAGTTCTCCTTGTAGAACTTGAGGGTGTCGAAAGTGGCTTGATCGAGCTCGGGAATCGGCTTGATCGATACTGCACAAAGTAAACAAAAAGTTCGAGTTAGATGCAAATATCAAGAAGCTGAAAGAAAAAAGAAAACAAGAAAGACTCCATACCTAGGTTCCCAAACCTAGCAGGCATGTCAAAGAAGGGACGACCTGACTCGTCCTTTGTCAGCCACTCACCCGAGGCAAAGAACCACTTTCCTACCCATCCCTTGATGGAGGTCGGCCCCTTGACTATGCCACCTGCGCCTTTCCTCACACACATATAGTACCGACCAGGTTTTTTGGCTATCCTCTTAGCCTCAAAACACCCAAGGAGCTGATCAACACTTAGCAGCTCGGCCTCGTCGTCATCCCGAGCTCGCAACCAAAAAAGAATGGCTAAAGCAAAAATGACACCCCACCCATTGGGGGCCACTTGAGCAGGAGCAAGTCCAGTTCGGTTTAAGAACTCCTGAGCAAAGGGATGGAGAGGAAGTCTGAGGCCGTACTCAAACATTTTCAAATAAAGAGTGACCCATCCCTCTGGAGGATTGTCAGCTCTTTCCCCTTCCTCCGGAATCCTAAGGAGGATGTCATTCGAAATGTTAAACCCCCTACGAAGGGGTCCAAGATAATGCTCGGGCATCCTAGAAGGGTACTCCAAACCCTGGCCCGAGGTGGAGGTATCGCTATCCTCTCCGTTATCCGAGAACCTAAAGTTCTCTATCTCTTCCAGCTCGGACTCTAACCTACGAGCTAAGACCTCCCCAGTGTCACTTGGTTTGGGGGGCGAACTACTTATTGTCCGACCTAAACTACCCAGACTATCACTACTGGAGGGGGAAGATAAGAAAACTACCATGTCTGAAAGAAGTATAAAAGCAAGGAAAAGCGACTGACCTATAGGAAGGGTTCGAGCTGCTTTCAGATCGAACTCTAGAAATTCAGGAAACGTAAGGTTTGACCTGAAGTTTCGGGACTATTTATAGCTGATCGGAAAAACCTCTGCGCCGTACACGTGTAATCAACGAGCGGCTGGGATCTTCTCGGGATACGCAACGGCGAAACGCTTGAGTGCTCTGACAACCTGGCAGGTCGAAACGTATTCCGCAACGGTCATATTCCGTCTACAAATGGAAAGTCGCCACGTGTCCAAAATAGATTCAAATGAACTTCTCTGTCAGGTCGAGATCGAACCTAACAGAGAGGGGGGCCAATGTTTGGGGGTAAACGTACCCAGGACACATGGAGGACCCTTATTCGTGTTTGAAGAAATTAGATAAAAAGGATTGCTTAGGTCCACCTCGGCCCCGCCGAGGTGACCGGGTTTGCCCCTTAAAAGATGAAATATGGGCACCAAAGTTCGACCTGACTGGGGTCCGACCTGTTCGGAACCCGACAGGTCCGATATGAGAAAAGACATAAAACTGCCGGTTGTGTGTGCTATCGGATCCGTCACCTATAAATAGAGAGCTTTATTTCACGCTCAGGTATCCAACCTCACCTCGAACTAAATAAGGAGTCTGATCTATACTGACTTGAGCGTCGGAGTGCTTACCCTCTTGTGCAGTTCCACTCTTGTGTTCAGGTCGGAATCGGAGACCGGGTTCGAGCTCGATTCGTGAAGAACCGTTGTGCAAATTCCTGCATAAACACACAACAATTTTTTTTTTTCAAAATTTTCTGATCAAAATGGAAAGAATACCACAAAATCAATTCATTTTAACATTCTTTATCTTCTTTTTATCATTAATTCAAAACATAAAGTTTAAGATTGTTTTATCTTTAATTTATAGTTGTTTTAATAATTAATGAAGTCGATTGCTTATTCAACGTTATAAGAATTAAATTACTAAAAAAGTCAATGAATTCATAATAGACTTGCACAATTTAAAATTAAAAGTCAAGATAGGTCGTTGTCCATTAAAATATTTTCAAACTTTTATGATTAAAATGGAAAGAATTCCACAAAACTCTATTCATTTTACCCTTTCTTATCTTCTTCTTGTTATCATTAATTCAAAATACAAAAATATCATTTGCAAATTTTTATATAATTATGTAATAACTAATTAAACACATTCAAAACATTAATTAGTGATTAGTCAAGTCAATTGTTTTAGAATTAAATCACTAAAGAAGACACTGGAATGATAAGGCCAAGCACCACAATTTAAAACTGAGAATTAAAATATGTTCGATTCTTAAAATTGAAATTAAATAATTTGATTGGAAAAAGTAGGAAAATGGGTATTATAAATTTTCCAGACGTTGAGAACGCTAATGGTGGTTTGCTATTAGGAAAGTTTCTAAATATTAAATATTAAGGACTAAGGACTAAATTGCGGACCAAATAAAACTTAATCAAAATACAAAAGATAGTAGTTTAATTACTTTAAACTAGTAAATATAAAATCAATCTAAAGTTTTATTTGGTCCTAAATTTCAAAATCTAACAATTTAATTACTTTAAACGAGTAAATATAAAATCAATCTAATTCAATTAACATAATCTAATATTTAAAAAACCACACACTCCTACAATAATTACAAACAAATACACACAAAAAGAAGGATCCAAAGTCTTAGTGTTCACAGGAATATTTAGAGGCACAACGCATGGAAATTTAAAAATTCAATGGCTACATAGTCATGCTATGGTTGTTTCAATGGATATGATGGTACTATCATCTGTAAGGTCGTCGTCATCCCCATCCTCTCGAGAGAACGATGAAGAAGTTCGAATTGATTGAACTTCTTCGCTAATTTCTGGACAATCTTGAGACTTCCTTAATCCTTCTAGTTCCAAATATACTTGTTTCATCGTTGGCCTTTCCTTCCCATTTGATCTTAAACATTTTGTGGCAAGTGTAGCAACATGGTTAACAACGTCCATAATTTCTTCTGTGGCTACTATAAAATCTAAAATTTCGATAAGCTGATCAGTCTTTACCAATGAAATGAAATGATCTAACAGATTTCTACCATCATCCCTTGCAAAAGAAACCGGTAGCTTCCCAGTTAAAAGTTCCACCACTAATACTCCAAAGCTATATACGTCACTCTTTTCAGTGTATTGACTTGATCTGAAGTACTCCGGATCTATATATCCAAAAGTTCCCAACACTTTCGTAGTGAGATGTGATTGATCACATGACACAAATCTAGATGTTCCAAAATCAGAAACTTTTGCACTAAAGTTATCATCCAAAAGTATGTTTAAAGATTTGATATCTCTGTGATAGATAGGAATTGAAGCAGCAGAATGCATGTAAGATATAGCTCCTGCAACTTCAGAAGCGATTCTAAGACGAGCTTCCCATGAAAGAGGTGAATCTTCAAGATTTTCCTCGTGAATATGGTGCGAAAGCGTCCCATTAGGAACAAATTCATAAACTAACAACGGAAACTCAGTTTCTAAACAACAACCCAGAAGCCTAACAATATTTCTGTGGTTAATTTGAGAAAGGACAATTACTTCATTGATGAACTGTTCGATCCAGCTTGTCTCGATTTGCTTTGACCTTTTGATTGCAACAGTAGTGTTATCACGGAGCATCCCTTTATAAACCGTGCCATATCCTCCTTGACCAAGTAATCTACTGTCACTGTAGTTATCTGTTGCTTGTTCAAGTTCTTCCTCTGTAAACACTTTTACTCTTTCACTATCTTCAAGTAGCTTCTGCTGCAATAAGAAGCCACCATTTTGTTTGAAAAACTTTTTCTTATAAAGTTTGCGTCTTCTTTTCTTGAGAAGTAGTTGATTTCCTTTGCATCCGCAAAAGAAACAACATGCTAATGTTATTAGACCACCTTCAATGCAAGTAAAAAGATGTTAGCAAGTTAATTAGCCATCAAAACAAAAGGAAAAAAAAAAAAGAAAATGGTATAACGAAATATCAAAATAAAAAGAAAGAGATAAACCTATTGGAATCGTGACCAGGTATAGGAAAATAAATGGAAGAAGGTACGAATTGGAGTTAGAGCTGCAATCGCCGTAAGGATATATTCTGCAAGTGTCATCTTTACCCAATGGAACCAAAATAGGCGTAAATGGATATATGTGGCTCCAATTTGAAAGCATATTCGCTTCCAACACGCTTTTCTCCTCAACCCCAAAAGCCCTCGCCACGGATCCAATGGTCTCATTTAGTTGCAGCATATACACAACCAAGTTGTCAATCCTACTAGCATTTTGAGCTTTGGTAGGACAAGCACATCGCAGTGGAACTTCGAGCCTTCTGCCTATCGCTGCAGTACTATTAAGGGGATAGTCGTCGTTCTTATTTTTCAACGCCGAACAGCTCGTCAAGCCTTGAAAAATATCATACGCTATCTTTTCATAACTATCACCACTTTTAATAGTGTAGTCGATGATATATTGATAGGAATGACCAAAACATGAACATGACCACACCTGAGCAATAGACAAATTATTATTGTTCCTTAATGTTATATTGAAGTAATAAAAGGCATCAAATTGAGCACCATATTTGAAGGCAAAATAAGAATCACATGAGTAAATAGAATCAGTGCACACGTATTCTTGTGGCGTCGAATTGTTGTTGATAGAACAGCTCGTCTCCTTTCCCAAATACGACTGTTGGGAAAAGGATTGATAGGGAAAGAGAGAAATTAGGAAGAGGATGATTAGAGGAAGAGCATGACATGAAGAAAAAATTGCTGCCATCTTTTAGATGCTTGTTTTTGCTGCCACACTTTTCTTTATATTGGAAAGGAACACATATGTGTTTACTATGGTTGCATTATATATTTCAAAATCTATATATATTTTTTTATTTGTGTTTTTGATCCATTTATTTTAAAGAAAATTGTTTTACTTAAAAGAGGGAAAAGTTGTTCCCTTTATGGGCAAGGAAGGAGGGATTCGAAGTCCAACACCGTAGTTCGGAGCCACTGCTCTAATTCTCTAAACTACAGGTCTCACCCCGTCTCCAATAATGAACTGTTCACGGGTACTCTAAAAAAAGAAACTTTCCATCTGCTATTTCAGGTCAAAAAGATGGGAATAGTTACATATTCTTTTAGTATAATAAATCTGGGGATTGAACCTTTGTTGACCTTAAAAAGCATCCAATTATGTTGGGAGGGGCAGTTTCATATATTTCTTGAGTTGCTTATTGGAATTCTCTGCATCAGTTAAATTAAAATGTACTGGATTTTATGCGTGTTTTCAGAAGTATTTTTAAGAGCTATCAAAACATTTAAAAATTTTGAAAAATATTTTTAATTACCCAAAATTGTCTGTTCTTATCAATATCGAACCACTCTTTAAGCATAACAATCAAATTTTAGTTTGATAATAATTTAGTTTAACTTTTTTTTCCTTCAAAAATAAGTTTATTATTAAGTTTCTTTATTTTATTTTAACTATATTAGGTATATTTCAAGTAATAAAATTTATTTATCTATTTTGCCCCTTTCTTTTTATTTTATTTTATTTTTGTTCATAGTATTTTTCAAATGTACTCTTAAATTTAGTAGGATTTTTTAACTTTACAAATATATATACCATAAAAAAATATATTATTAGTAATTAAAGAAGTTCATCCTCTGTAATAAATGAACAACAAATCTTTAAAACTTACACCTTAAAATATATTGTTAATTTCTGAACTAATATTAACATTTTTTTACTTGTTTAGGTTCCTATCCAAATTATACTTTAAAGAAACTGAGAAACAAATTTACGTCACATTGTTTCAAAGAAATAATAATAATATTACGTCGTCACATTAATTTAATGTCTTTTGAATCGGTCTATTTGATTGATACATATAATCTCAAAATTATTTTGGATCATTCAAACTCGATATCTCTCCAACTACGAGATCAATAATGGAGAGCCGATACTTCTCACTTATAAAAATTAGAATTTGTTTGATAACATAAATCATAAATGTTTACTAACCTTTTTCTTCCATCTCCAATTTACACTTTTTTTTTGGATGAAAAATCATTTCCAAATTTATAAATTAGTGATGCGTTTTTTATAAATATTTAATCTTTTTCTAACTTTTAGTTTTGGAAAAACTTGATATTTTGATGCCGAATTTAATTTTCAATTTTAAGTTTTGAAGTACTATATGGCTTCAATCAACATATTAGCACTCGTTTGGTAATATACCGGTTTCTTATTTTTTGTTTCCAATTTTCTTTATAAATCTAACTATTTTGCAACTAACTTTGTTTTTTGTTTCTCATTGTCACAATTGTATAGAAATTTTGGAAACAATCAAAACGAGTTTCTTTTTTCTTGTTCCTATTTCCACTTTATTTTAAAACATAATTAAAAAAATGTTTTATCATACTTGAATTCATGGATGTTGGAACCATGCAATTCATTTTTCTTCATTAAAAATAAATAAATGGGAACGAGAAATAGGAACGTTACTAAACGGGTCCTTAATAAGCATTTTTGAAACTTGGTCATCCCACCTAATCAAAATAATTGATGTCAGAGCAAAAATGAAAACCATTTTTATGGTTATTATTTGAAAGTCTAAAGGCTAAAACGTTTAAAGTTTTAAGGATGAATATATAAAATAAATAAGTTCGTACGTCAAAATAAACTTTTTAGAATATAATATTATAAAGGTAGCAATAAGGATTGAGATACTTAGGATTCGTTTGGTTTATTGGTAATTGGTAACGCTCCTGTTTTTTATTTCTGTTTTTTAATTTTTAAGAAAGAAAAATGAATTATGTGGACTCACATCCATGAGTTCAAATATGATAAAACATTATTTTTATTTATGTTTTGGAATAAATTGGAAATGAGAAAAAAAAAACAAGAAGAAGAAACTTGTTTTGGTTTTGTTTCCAATTTCTATACAATTTTTGAGAATGTTCAAAAAAAAAAGGAGAACAACAAAAATAATTAATTACAAAATGCTTAAATTTCTTAAGAAAAATGAAAAAGAGAAAAAATGGAAACCTTACCAAAATGACCCTAGAAATTTACTAATTTCTTAACTAGTTTAATATATACAGTGACATTGTTGGTCCAATATAAAATTGGACCTGCTAACAAACTAATGCAAGTTGATCTTATAAAAAAAATTGAGGGCTTTTATCTACTAGCAAGTAGCCTCAAGTTTTTGTTTTGAAAATTTACAGGAATTGATATCTAAAGGGTCCGTTTGATAACCGTTTTTTTTTTTTCTTGGGTTGGTTTGATAACCATTTTAGTTTTTGGTTTTTGGTTTTTATTGTTTTTAGTAACATGTTTGGCAACCATTTTTAGTTTTGTGTTTTTAAAAAGTTAGAAAATTAAAAATACATATTATTAAAGAGAGAAAATCTTATGTAGGGTAGAGAGGGTGTGGGTGCGAGTGAGGATGCTCTCCCTCATTCTTAGGCTCGTGAAAATTTTTAGTCTCCGTCTCCACCTCGTTCTTGGGTCTGAGAGATGTTCTCGAGAAAAATTATCGGTTTTATAAATGTTTTTAATTATTTTCAGAATTTAAATATAAAAAAGTGTAATAAATATATATTAATTATTTAAAAAATGGAATCAGGGACGAGGACGGGGTCGGGACGTGCATTTTCTATTTTTGGAACTTGAACCTACGGAAATTTTTGTCTTTCCATAATGTAGAGACATGAAAATAGAGATGTAAATAAACTTTTGGAAGATTTTAGAGAGATAAATAAAAATATTTAGAAAAAAATAAAGTCGAGAGGAAAAGATATGTTAAACAAAAAAAAGAAATTATAAAGAAAGAGAAAAATTATAGTGGAAACAAATTTAGAGTTAAAAACAAGATTAAAAATATAATTTTATATACAATAAATAAATACAAAAATAAATAAAAGTTACAATGAAAGAAAATTGAACGAGAAAATAAAATATAATTTTTAGAAGAAAACATAGGTTACGAAGAGACATAAAAATTATAAAATATGAAATTTTCGAGAGAAAAAAGTTAGGAAAAATATTAAATTTTTAGAGAGAGAAATGAAACTGGTCTGTTAGGAAAAAAACAAAAATACAAAAAATTTTGGAGAAAGACAAATAACAATAAACATTCAAAATATGGAAATTTTAGAGAGATAAAATAAAGTTTGTAGAGATAAATTTAGAAATAAAAAAACTTTAGAATGAAAAATAAATTTTTTAGACATAAATATGAAAAATAAAAACAAAGTTGAGTATCAGGAGAAGAAATGAGATTTTGAAAAACAAAAACCTGTTTTTGAAGACTACTTTTTTTTGTTTTTGAAATTTACATAGAATTTCAAAATGGTTTTTTAAAAACTAAAAGCCAAAAACCAAAAACAAAAAATGAAATGGTTATAAAGGGGTCCCTTGTTTTTGGTTTTTTGTTTTTGGTTTTCTGTTTTTGAAAAAACAAAAATCATATATATTTGATAACCATTTTTAGTTTTTTGTTTTTAAAAAGTTAGAAAATTGAAAATATATATTAGAGAGAGAAAATTTTATGTAGAGTAGAGATGACAGTGGTGTGGGTGCGAGTAAGGATGCTCTCCCTATTTTCGTACTCATGAAAATTTTTAGTCTCCGTCTCCACCTTGTTCTTGGGTCCGAGAGATGTTCTCAAGAAAAATTATCGGTTTTATAATTGTTTTTAAGTATTTTTAGAATTTAAGTATAAAAAAAGTGTAATAAATATATATTAATTATTTAAAAAATGGAATCGGGGATGGGGATGGGGTCGGGACATACATTTCCTATTTATTGGACCCGACCCTCAAGAAATTTTTGTCTTTCCCCTAATGTAAAGACATGAAAATACAAGTTTAGAGAGATGTAAATAAACTTTTGAAAGATAAATTTTAGAGAGATAAATAAAAAGATTTAGAAAAAAATCGTGAAAGAAAAATTAAAGACAAAAAAAGGAAAATTGTAGAGAAAAAATATAAAGTCGAGAGGAAAAGATATGTTAAAGGAAAAAAAAGAAATTATAAAGAAAGAGAAAAATTACAGTGAAAACAAATTTAGAGATAATAACACGATTCAAAATATAAATTTTAGAGAAAATAAATAAATACAAAGATAAATAAAAGTTACAGTGAAATAAAATTGAACGAAAAAATAAAATATAATTTTCAGAGGAACAAATACGAAGAGAAAGGAAAATTATAAAAGATGAAATTTGAGAGAGAAAAAAGTTAAGAAAAATATTAAATTTTTAGAGAGAGAAATGAAACTGGTCTGTTAGAAAAAAAATACATAAAAATTTGGAGAGAGACAAATAATAATGAATATTCAAAATATGAAAATTTTAGAGAGAGAAAAAGAAGGTTTGTAGAGAGAAATTTAGAAAAAAAAATTTTAGAGTGAGAAATAAATTTTTTAGAAATAAATATGAGTAAGAAAAAAAAGTTGAGTATTAGAAGAAAAAATCAGATTTTGAAAAACAAAAACCTGTTTTTGAAAACTACTTTTTTTTTTTCGTTTTTAAAATTTATAAAATTTCAAAATGGTTTTTGAAAAAGAAAAAACAGAAAATTGAATTGGTTATCAAACAAGCTTGAAAAACTAAAAACTAAAAATAAAAACAAAATGATCAGACGGGCCCTAAGTTTTTTTAAACGTTTTTATTTTAATCCATTGAATTATGTCCAAATTGAAACTAGACTCGAAGATTTTGTAATTATCTAGAAAAGCATTTATTAAGCGAGAGAGGTAAGTTTGAAAAAGATGGGTGATTTTAACCAATTAAAAACTTTT